CTATGCCACTCAACAAGCTCCGCACTTTCAACTATAGGCGCGTTGTTAAACTAACAATCGATCTCGTTATTCGGGTAAGATGAACTGTGTAGGCGGAGGTGTTATTAACCGGTTGTCCTCTTTATGGTCAGTAGTTCCAGATTAGGGACGATAATAGGTCTCCGATCTGGCCGTTTAGCCCGTGTGCCGCATATTGTTGAAAATATCCAATGTATAGAATTAGTTCATGTTGATTTGGAACTGTGTTCACTTATTACGTGACACATGGTCGCATACTTCATGATCTGCTTTCTTATTGGACGCAATATTCCGTCATATAAGAATGGTTTGAACGAACACTCTAGTAACAAAATTCAATCACTTTGGCTCAATCTTTATTCGCTTCAAATATATATATATATATATATAATCATAAACAGTGCGCTTCAGAATGTCATGCATGTCGTGTGTGTTAAAGGTGAAAAAAAAGGCGATAAAATCATAAAAAAAACAACAACAACTAGAGCTTTCGCATTAATTGCTTGAAACGATTCATCTAATATTTTCCTGGACTTTTGTTGTTGTTTTATTAACTCAAAGCTACACAACTAGTTATGTGGCCATCGCAGGGAATTAAACCCCGGATTTTAGCATTGTAAATTCGTAAACTGTCCGTTGATCCACCAGGTGGCTTATGAAGAAACTATTCTTTACTAGTGACGTACAGCGATCTCTTGTTATTCTACGATTTCCGTGTCGTAATTGCAAACTTTATTATTGCGTTTACGGAAATTGTCCTCTAACCTTGCTGTTGTAAAATACATAAACACGCAGTAAAATAAAACCTAGAAACTATATACTGAAATAAACAGAAACAATTAGTGTAAGAGAGAAATTTGTGTTTCCTCTTTCTGTTTAATTTAGAGTAAACTTGGGATTTTATTATTATTTTGATTGTTAAAAATGCTTCGAAAGATCAAAGATCCTAAGTTTACATATGATAAAATTTCCCACCATTTTTAACACTTATATCATTAAGATTTCGAAGCTCGTTAGTCTGAACAAGTTAGGTGATGATACTGAAATGACCGGTTCTGTTTGTTATTAAACGTTACTAGATAATGGGTTCGTGTACTTCTGATATTGTTGTTTTATTTTAAATAAATGTTCAGTCACGTTAAATTGTCTAGTCTAATCATCTACAGTGTGATCTTTCTTTATATGATGTTCATTCACAATCGTAAAACTAGAATTGGGGAAATACTTGGAATTTATAAGAATTCATTTGTATGTTCTTAAAAACAGGGCAGTTTTCACAATTATAGAGGACATTAATTGCCACAAGAACGATTTCACATTTGTCTATAAATTTTAACATTAAAACAAACGGGTATAAATGATATTCTAAAATCTTGTAAGAACATTCGAACATGGAGTGTATTTTTATAACATTCGAACATGGTGTGTATTTTTATAACATTCGAACATGGAGTGTATTTTTATAAGAACATTCGAACATGATGTGTATTTTTATAACATTCGAACATGGTGTGTATTTTTATAAGAACATTCAAACATGGTGTGTATTTTTATAAGAACATTCAAACATGGTGTGTATTTTTATAAGAACATTCGAACATGGTGTGTATTTTTATAAGAACATTCGAACATGATGTGTATTGTGACCAGTACAATACAGTTAATTTTTTTCCATCAAACTGAAAGTTTTGCTTGTCATTTTTACGCCAATAAAGTAATATATTTGTTCTATTCTGAAGTCTACTAAAATAACACATTCCAGGCTCTTTCAAGCACATCCGTACGTATTTCATTTAAAGTCAACGAGTAGCAACCACGCAGTGATTTCATATTATTTTCTACTCGCTAGTTTCAATTCAAATTAGCAGTCTGAAATGTTAGTCTCTCTCTTTGCAACCGATTCATAAAAAGAACTACACAGAAGAGGGTATGAAGATCTGTTGTAAACTAACCCGTCTGTCGGCCCCTTTCTCAACATGATTCTACGCTCTTATCGGCGATAGCATGTCTCTCACGGTGGCTGACAAATGGGCTTGTCAGTGTAGCCTCCTAGAGGTATAGTGATATGTTGTAAACAATATTCAGTCTTGGCAGATCCGGACAGTCACAATGACGTCCAATGCCCTGCTGTCATATTATGGATCTAACAAGGAGGTTTTTATCTTCGTTTGTATAGCAGTATCCACCTATTTATGTCTTAATTAACTCAACAGCTTAAATCAATTTGATATGGGATATCTGTACCGAATTAACCTGTTCGTGTCATACCTCTAAAACCGTTAATTAGTTTATACTTTTTGGCAATCTGATTTTAATTTATGATGGAATATGTCCCTTATTCATTCGAGTTGTTATCTATAAGTTGGTTACTTTATAAATATAAAGGTTGGCAGGAATCAGTAGATTTATAGTTCTAGTCAATCAATGTATGAAATCAAGTTCGTTAATCACTAGTATGACTTGTTATATTTATAAGGTGCTTGTGTTTGCTGTATGAATATAAATACTGGCGGTAACCAGTAGGTTTAGAGTAAAGTTAATCTATGGTTTGACCGCTATCTTTAACAATAATTAGTACATCTAAAAAATTATTACTTTTGTTTACTTGAAAGTTGAATTGTGTATTTAGATTAGCCTTATTTCAGGATTCCTAGAAGAAGTAAGTGCCTTATAATCTAAAATAAATAATCCTTATATTAATATTACTAAAACGATCTTTTTTTGATATAGTTTCAAATAGTTAGTATATTTTGGCTCAAAATACTTGGGTGAAATGTTAGATATCTCTAAAAAATTAAACAAAGGATATAACTAAGCTCGTATAAATTGGAGCACGTTCCTGAAATCTGTTGTTGTATATGTTTTGAGAAATAACAAGTGTAAACGTGGGATGTGACAAGTTTGAGTAATATTTTAAATAAAAAGTCTATAACTTTTAAACTGTATTACGCATAATGCATAGAGTACATAGAAACAGCATTTAATGAATCAAATTTTCCTACTTTTTTTTCGATAACTAACTAATATAATCGTTCATAACGCGGGTAATACTTTGTACCCTAGTAACGAAGGTCTTCATATTTGTATAGAATAATACTGAGTACTTTTACCACATTTGTTTAGTCTCAACAGACTTCTAAAGGGATCGCTTAATTAAAGTTCTTTTTTTTTATTTTTCCAATATGATATTAGTCCTAGTCGTTTTTCCGTTTTAGGAGAACCACAAAAAGGTACTTATCCTTTCAGTATCCTATTTGATCTTTTATGCTTTGATTATGCGATTTATAAACGTAATTTGAGTACTTTGTAAAATGGTTTAAGAATACTGAAAAAATAATATGAATTAAACATAGCTGTTTAGATTTGTTTGTTTCTTACTAAGCGCCAAACTACACAATAGGCGATCGGTACTTTGCCCACCGCTGGTATCGAAACCCGAATTTTAGTGTTGTAAGCCGTGAGATTTACCGCCGAACTACTAGTAAGCGAGTAAATGTTTTTCAGGATTATGTCAACCAAAAAAAGAAAGACGAATGTCAAGCATTTTCATAGGTGTAAAGGAAAGTAATCTGATGCTATTTTTTTTATTCACCTCCTACTTGTCGTTTTTAACGCTTTAGAAATGAATATTTGACTTATTATTTTCGCTTTAGTATTTATTATGACACAAAATGGGTTTTATGAGGTTAGTTTTAACACCTCTTTCAAGCAGTTACACTTGTGGTACTCATCGTACGCCATCTGATGATTTTAAATTTTACCATCTTTGTGAAAAAGTTTCCATTTTCAACTCGTGTCACCATATCATTATTATAGATTTAAATAAGATAAAAAGATTAATTTATTTTTTCAACATTCTTTTATTTTCTGATCATCTATAGAAATATTTGAATTAATTGCCAATTCTGATCCTCACCCTATCGGCGGTCTTCTAAAGCGAGAAAAAACGACATCTAACCAAAGTGTATGTCTCTTTGTCTACATGTCTGTCTGTTTGTCTGCTTGCCTACGTGTCGATCATTTTGTTTGGCTATCTATCTGCTTTAAGCTTTCTTGGATAAGTAGGAATATAGATCGTTTTTAAAAAATAGAAAAGTATAAGAAAACTCGAAATATAAAAGTTTAAAAAATATAATAAAATTCATATCCTGAGTTCTGTAAAATCTTTGTTTGATTTAGCACGTCAAGGTGGCGCTTCATTAGTTAATGATACTTAATATGTACAGAGAGAGACAAGCAGAATATAGAAAAAAAGGAACTACACATAGACAGTGTTGAGTGTATTTTCAAATCTTTGTTGAACCGATAACTACTAAGTATTCTTCTATTATTATTTAGTTTTGAGAAAAAAAGGAACTACACATAGACAGTGTTGAGTGTATTTTCAAATCTTTGTTGAACTGATAACTACTAAGTATTCTTCTATTATTATTTCGTTTTAACTTATTCACCAGACTTCTTTTATTTTAAATTAACCACTGTTGTCTTTCGAATCTGATGTCTCGACTCAATGTAATGCGCCCATATATATAAAACTATTTCACAAATCTGTAGTCCGAATTAAGATCTCATAAAGTGTTTCCTGAGACATCGCTGCCTTGTATCTTATAATTTCTTGAAAGTTCAGTTGGGAAATACGATTGATTATTCACATGAGATTTTTTTTAATGTTCATACATGAGAAAAGTTCTTTTTTACCACGCGCTTATAAATGCAGATGTCTACTTACGAACAAGTCGGGTGTGTTGTGTATTCCAACACGGAATGTGCTTTTGACATATAAATTGTCTCTGTCTCTCAGTCATTGGAGAGATAATGTTTTGAAACAGATCGATTCTACGTCAGATTTCTATTGCCCTGCACTTTACAGAAGTTTGTAATGGGCAACTTGCCACGCATGCGCGTTACAGCGATTAGCGACAGGGCGGGGATAGAGCCCAACTGCCAGGCCTACAAGTAGATGAAGCAGACTTAGTGCGGAGTGTAGTGTTGCCCACGTTACTTGGTCTCGAGGTATAACCCCGATGTTAAGAGTTATCTTTTAGAAGGCAGGTAGCCTCCTCTAATCTATTATCACCATGGTATTACAAGTAAGTAGTTGGAAGCTGACAGAACTTTAAAATATAAACGTTTCAGATATTTTACGAGAAAATCCACAACTGGGACCTTTCCAAAATTGTTAAACTGACTCGGAAAATGGCTTTTGGTCAGCGTTTACTATTAGTCTTAATCTTACGTGTTGGAAGAGACTTTTAAGATTGCTTAAACTTAAGCTACCTCATCCTCTGTTGTTTTCATGATGTCTGCTAATTCCATCCGCGTTGAAAAACTTAGAACAATTCGCTAAAATAATTTCAGATTGGCGCTGAAGACACTTTGTAAAGCTTTGAGGTTTTCGCGAACATTTGTTTTAATGTTCTTATAAAAAAACAACTCACAAAGTTTAAACTCGCAGGCTCTCTATTAATGTCTCAAGAACGAGACACGGCATTCGAACTAAAATAGATTGAATGAAAGCTTAACAAACTTTCACCGACACGCTGGAACCAACTATCTTTGAACTAAAGCCATAGTAGATATTAAACTCTCGAAGTGCTATCAGAAAAAGGCCCGATCTAACGGTTACGACATCGTTTGAGAACAACAACGGGGCAAAGGTGAACGGCGATGACTTCGGGACAGGACAAGGCTTGTCACACTAGTGTTATCAACGCCTTATCAGTAAGTATACTTTACTCATGCTGGTTATCATATAGTGTATATATACCTCGGTACGTGGAACGTTGAGGCCAAAAATTTAACTATGTACGAAAAGAAAAAGAAAAGAAAATAACGAAAACCTAAATAATAAAAAACTGGAGAAACCTGTTGAGATAATGATGAGAAATAAGCGCAAACCAGTAACAAATTCCGTGAGCACATTTTAATAGGTGTCTGAAACCGCTAAAGAAATACCTTCAAGAACTGTTAGAGTCGTTTAGTTTTAGGCTTTATCATTCTTTACTCTATTGTAGTTCATTAAACAGCGAAGATAACCTGACTGCCATAGTCACCAGTCCGCTCAGGTAGTAGGTATAGCGAACAAGTTGTTCTCTGAGTCTATATATGGCGACTACTTTAACTGTGTCATTAAATACCGCGATTTTAGCTTAGTTTGAAAAACGCTTGCATTCTTGGTATTATTTACCTCTAACGTGTGTGAATGTGACTAATTTTAAAGTTGAATACTGTAAGTTAGCTAGAAAAGAGTACATCCGGTTAATCCAGGAAAGTTCGGGTTTTGATGTCACGATTCGCTGCTGTCTTTCATGTGTAATAATAATGATAACAGTTCGATTGTTGCAATACAATAGACCTATTTCATGTCACGACAACAATCACACATGCGCCAACAACAACAAGTGTATTCCATTAATTCTACGGAAGGTTAATAATACGAAATCATGGAATTCAAATGAGCATGTCCAGTGCACGCTTTATTCGAAACATCTGTTTCATCTCATGTGAGAGAGGATTCTGACGCTACTTGATTAAAGCAATATTATATTATTGGAGAAATTAAAAATATGCACGAATTTTATAACTTATTTAACTATTTATGACTTCATAAAATCAAAGTTTAATTTGATATAGGTACATATGAAGCTCTAATTTTCATAAAAGCTGAAATAATACAAATATGTTTAAAGTTACCGACATCAAAGTATATGAATGAATATATAAGTTACAAAATTAAATCATATTAATTTCAGAAAATTTAACTTCTCAGAATTATCAACTGTTCGAAACAGTTGAACCGAATAGTTGGGCATTATAATTCATCTTCTGGACCTTTCTAACAGAATCGATAAGTAAAAAAATTAGGAGTGACTTGAAATTAGACTGAAACATTGTTGTTGACACTAGACCTAACGAAAATATTTGAAGTATTCATAATCTAAACATCTGTTAAACCTATTTGCTTTGACTCCATGAGGAAAAAATTCTCTAAAACTTTTCCCGGATGTTTAAAAAAAGTAAAAAAGTTTTAGAACTCGCGAGAACTAAAACAAGTCGATTATACGAAATGAAAAAGTTTTTGAAGTAAACGGTAAGTCTGAGGGCTTATAATACTAAAAATCAGGTTTCGATACCTGCAGTGAGTAGAGAAAAGATAGCCCATTGTGTACCGTTGTGCTAAACAACAAATAAACAAAACATAATATATAAACTAATTAGAACTGAAACTAGTGCTAGACATTTCAAGAAACTGAGGAAATATCTAGAATTAGTCTGAATTCAAACTAGCCTCTGAAGTTTGAACAAACCAACGAAATTTCTATAGGTGTCCGGAAAGAAATCTAGTCCAATAATTTCAAGAAACTGCAGGAAGTTCTAGAACTAGCAGAAATGAACGTTGCCCTAGATATTTAAATTAACTGAAGTATGTTCTAAAGCTATTCAGAACTAAAACTTGTCTTAGACATCTCAGCAAAATAAAAAAAAGCTCTAGAGCTTGAAGGAACAAAAACGAGTTCAATACATTGAACAAATGTTGTAGCACTAGCCAGATCTGAAACTTGTAATGGACGTTTAAAAAAATGAAGAAAACTCTAGATGTTTTCATAGATGGTGTTTGTTCAATCTTTTCACAAAAACAAAAAAAATCTAAAAATATTTAGAGGCATAATCATTCGTCGGTTTGTAACAAAATTAAAACATTCTCAAAATATAAAAGCCGAAGTTCAACGTTCGCTTCTGAATGGGCTAGAAGAGAAAAAAATGTATAAGTTTTCTTGTTTCTCAACAGAGCGTATTAAACGTTTTACTAAACAGCTTGAAGGTCTTGAATTAGATTCTTACCCGCAACCAGAGGAGAAGAAGAATGTTTTGAACCTTCTATTCCTTGACATACAGAAAAATCTAAAAGTCATAACCTAGACAATTTTAGGATTTTCGAGAAGTAACCAGGCTTAGCACGCTATGTCTTTCTTTTTCATTTGATATAAAGCTGAGGTAAAGTTCAAAAGCTAAAAATACTTTTTTTTTTTTTACATTTTATGATCAGATAAAACAAAACAATCAAAACCTATCCCTCTTATTCCCAGACACAGAAAAAAGAAAGATAAAAAATGTGTAAATCTTAAATTCTCCTCAGAAGTCGAGGAAAAACAGTAGAATATTCATATTAAATCATATACAGTAGAAAATAAAGGAAAACGAAACTTCAAGTAAAATATACCAAACCTTTCTGTATTTTTATGATCGCTGAATCAGACGAACATTACAAATATTATATTCAAAGTTACACAAAATCCTTATTAAAAAAGTATTATAAAGTACAACAGAATATATTCCTCAGAATCTCTATTTGGGAAGTTAGCTGTATTCCACATTATAAATTCTGTATTCCACGTTATGAATGCTGTATTCCATGTTATAAATGCTGTATTCCACATTATAAATGCTGTATTCCACATTATAAATGCTGTATTCCACGTTATAAATGCTGTATTCCACGTTATAAATGCTGTATTCCACATTATAAATACTATAAATATACATTTGTACTATTACTAGCTTATTATGCAAGTTTAGTGAAACCTCAAAGATTGTAAATGATCTTATATTTCATAAATAGAGCATTAAAACTGTATGATGTGCTACAAAGCTGAATTTTCTAGAATATGAAATCTGAGGTAGTTTCCACGTGTTAAGAAAATCTTTCCGTTATTATTATTATTATTTTCCATTTCGCTTGAGGTTTAGATTTCATGTATCCTGTCTGCATCAGCTATACTTGGCTTACGATACAAAGATAATATTACAATGATCAATATTGTTTATTGCTTTTAAATCTTCATTATAAATTTTTGGCAAAAAAAGAAACAAACAAATAGTTCAGTTACATTATCGTTAAGTAATTATCCTATTTACTTTTTTATTGTAATTTTAGTTATTTGTCCAAATGGTTGCAACAAATTTTAATTGCAATAAAAAATAAGGCTATCGTTTAATAGCATCTTAAAATGTAATTACATTTTAGCCCCCACCCCCTTAGTGGCTCAGCGATAAGTCTGAAGGTTCATACTGCTGAGTTTTTGATATTGTGGTGGGTACAGCAGAGAGAGCCCATTGAGTATCTTTGTGCTTAACCTCAAATAAACAAAACATTTTTATAATGTACAAATCCTGCTTCTGATTGATGTTTTAAGAATGAAATTCTCTTTAGGTAATTAAGGGTGGTTAAAATGCTACACTATGGATCCGAGGGTCCATGACTGGGGGGTTACGCTGCCCGAAAAAAACCCAACAACAACAAAATGGTACTCCGCATTTTGAGCCTCGGGGGCGTTATAAGAGTGACGATGAAATCCCGCATTTCGATTCCAGTAGGGAGTTGGTGGTGAGTGCAGTTGAGTTACTGTCTTCCCTCTACTTCAAAATTAGAGACAGCTAACGCAGATATTTCTGGTGTAGTTTTGTCCGAATGACCGAAACGAACTGTTTAAATAAAAGACAAACAGTAGTTCAAACAATTTCTCAATATTATAAAACATTTCGAATCCTAGTTGCACTCATCACCACACTTAATGTTTTATGCAAAGCGTATATGTTATTTTCACTTCTACCTACGTCTCGTGTTATAATCTGAAGAGCAAGTCTCATAAAGAGAACGAGCTACGAAATAAGAACTTGAGAACTGATAATTCTTCATTTGTTTACAATAGAAAGTTAAGTATCCATTACATGCTCTTAGCAACGTGCGTTTACGAGTTTCCAGTGTAGCGCCTAGTCTAGCAAAACGTACGGATGTATATATAGGGTGTCTGTTTTAACAGTTTCCTTTGAGAATCACTAGTGTTACGATAAAACAGAAACACAAACTAAAAACAAGTTTCTTTAAAAGCGATAAGTGAGAGTCACTGCTTGTGACGCTCGATTTTAATTGTCTTACAGTAACTAGTTTGGCTGTTTGTAGAAATAGGCAGTGGTGTACGTTTGAGAAAGTTACACACATTATATAATACCTTCACTTAGTATTACTTCCGAGAACGATAATTGCACTGTTTCAGAATGTACCTCATTAACATCACAAAAAGATGTGACATCCCTTAAGAGTTACGTGATTAGTACTTACTAGATGGCAGCACGGTTGTACCGGTTCTCCGGTATCGTTTGTTTATTTGAATTTATCCACAAAGCTACACAATGGGCTATCTGTGCTCTGCCCACCACGGGTATTGAAACCCGGTTTCTAGCGTTGTAAGTCCGCAGACATACCGCTGTGCCACTGGAGGGCTCTCCGGTATCAACGAAGTTAACGAAGGCGCGCTTCCCACATAATGACACTTTATATTCTAATCCCCTTTTTAAATATACAGAGTGGCCCAAAATTAGGTATACAGTTGCATGTATACTTCTTTTTTTTATGATGAGTATTCGAGGGGAAAAAATGTACGGTAGGAAATCGCGGAATGTTGAAGAACTGAAAGGATACATCACTGACGCATTTACAAAACTTGATGGACAGACAGGCAGGTGTCAGAAAGTTTGCAGAAGTGTGACAGGCAGACTCCAGGATTATGTGAACAGCGACGGGTTTCAATTTGAACACCTGCGGGATTAACTTTCCCATAATTCTATGTTATGTGTAAAGTGCTGTTCAATAAATTATCAATCATCAACTGTATACTTTAATTGTAATTTAATTACTTAAAGTACATTATCAATTATCAACT